TACTGTACTGTATATTGATGTCATCCCTTAAGCCTATGTTCGGCAACTTATATTTAAATTGATATGGCAACATCATGCCCATATTATATGGATGTTATGACACCATCATGGGGTAATTCATAAAAATGTCACATCAAATTTGATAGAGCTTTAAGAATATAAACTATTGTTTTTAAACCCATATTTAGTGAGGATTTTTAGTCAAAGAAGCTGATTTCTACCATTATAAAAAAAAAAAAAAGCATCGATATTCTACCAACAAGTTTAGGGGAGGTGGAGCTGTTTTTTGCTTGATAAAACGATGTTAATTTTTTCCCATAATTTGAACTAATGCTTATGAAAGGAAATACGTTGACCAATTGAGGGCGATATTCAATATCTTGGGCTAGAGTTCATATCTTGGGCAGAGAGTTCAGTTCCAGTGTTGTAATGTGGTCCCTTCTTTAAAGCAAACAAAAACAGTTTTAGAACGAAACATTATATTTGTTTAATTTATTGAAATTTCTCTATGATCAGTAGTGATGCTTAAACTTACTTAGTATAAATTATACTATGATAGGAATTCAAACACAGTATCTAAATCGAAAACATTGGCACTATTGTTTTTCCTTCCGCAAAAAGTGACGGTCTTCCTGATATACAGCAGTTGATGTTGGGTGTGGGGGGTATTGTTTTGTATGCAGCAGAGCATTCTGTCACTGCATTATGTAAAGTCTTTTATACTCTTTAGAACATTTAAATTCAATTTCTATTTTCTTTTGTTACAATGTATTTCCATAGGACAAACACTGTGAAACCTCGGATAGGGCATGGTTGTTAACTACCCAAAGCCTCAGTATCCGGCATGCGAATACAGAACATTTATTCTTCCTGGCATTGCGTTCACACTGAGTTGCACCTCAATCTTCTGTTCATTCACACATCTGTAAGTTTCTTCTCATTGCTTCTTGGGAAAACTTGTAAAAAGTCTTTGATTCTGTGTTTTTTTATATTTCCTACTATTACTCTGCTGCGGAAACTTTTTCATCAGTGTGTTCACTTGTTGGCATGTTGCTCGTCCTTCTTCAATT